GATTTAGCCCAAATGTGAGGAATCCTTGGGTCCCTGGTTAATTGTGATCCCCTTTGTTACAGTAGCAGAAACAGTGCTAGAGAAAAAGAGGCAGTTCTTGTCTTGAAGAGTATGCACTCTTACTATTATTTCATTTGTATTCTTCCTCCTTAAAATTAGCCACTGCTTATAAAGTAGCCACAATAAATCCAAACAGTGGGATGGAGGCAGAGATTGACTAAGTGAAACCTGCCCTAAATGTGCACCCATCAACAGAAATCAATTTGTCTTGCAGAGGTAGGTGGTTATACATAAAAGCTGAGAAAAATCATACTGGAAGCCACGGGAACACTTTCAAGTGGGAAAATTGGGGGTTGCCTACTGCATATGCCCTTGCTACTGGGGAGTGTGTGTATGTGTGTGCATGCCTGTGAGTCATAGAGAGAGATACTGAGAGACAGAGAGTAGAAGAGAGAGAACAAGAGAAAGGGAGGAAAAGAAAAAGGGAGGAAAAAAGAAATCAGTAGAGACACGTAGATGCAAAAGAACAATGGTTATATTAAATTATTTTGAGCTTTTAGTACAACTTACATAATTCTCAAGTGGAAGAAAATAAAGCCATAATTTATGCACAGTTCTTTCTAGCAAGCAAAAAAAAAAAAAAAAAAAAGAAGTTATTTTTACAACCCCCTATATTGATTGTATTTTTAGAACACTTTCTAAAATAAGTGGAGAATTCAATCCTACTCTCTGAGGCATGTCAATTTGTGCCCACATAGTCGATGGAAAGATTGAACCCTAAGTGCAGATCATGACATTCTGCTGTGATAAAAGCTGTTTCTGTTTGCTTTAACACTCATGCATAGTGGTAAATGCCACCTGTGACACATTGGGATAAGTATAACTATCTCTATTGCATCTAGTGATTGCAATACACTGAAAGTTGTTTCTGAAAGTTACCTGGCTCTCTTTACTTAGATAACTTAATTTTCTTTAAGCGTTTTAAGGCAGAAGAAGACAGTCAAGATACAGATACAAATAAATTTCACTTGCCAGGAGATTTTTGAGAACATGATACCAATTAACAAAAAATAATGCACGTCTTAACATAAAATCAGTCTGTGATCTACTTAGGCATGTGCCTGTTTCTAACCCTGTTCAGGAAAAACCTTGAACTTTTGCTTAGATCCTTCTTAATCGTGCCTGTAGGCATTGTTTAATCAGCTCTACGGTAAATATCCATTCACCCAACCACTGCCCACTGTACGTTTTTATGCATGTAAGGATGTGTATATATTCATAATCAAGATCCAGGCAGAAAAGCTACCTTCAGCCTACTCTTTTCATTGCCTCCCAGACACTGGCCTCTTCTCATACCATCAAACGAACTTGTTTCCACTGGTATTTAAGTTGCTGTGGCTACGAAAGCAGAACCAGAAACTGCCAGAACCATCCAAATCAATGAAAATCTATTGCTCAGGAAACTTGAACGTGTCTTACAACACTGTCTTCCCAGAGATATGGGCTACAAGATTGCTATGCTGCCAGCGGCGTGTTTCTTTTCGTAGGGTGTGAAAGCTCCGAGAGGGCGGCAGGGTGGCAGACTGACTTCCCGTGAAAACTTGTACAACTTTTCCAACTGTCTCTTCATCCTCCAGGTGCCTCCCGCTTCAGAAAGCTGTTCACTGCCACAGACCTCCCAAGGAAGACTGTGTACATGCTTTTGATTGACTTTGGTGGCTACTATAACTGTTATTTATTAATCAGCTTTTTAGGTGGGACACCAGCAGTCCTATTTGTCTGGGAACTCATGTGCCGAGGTTCTGGTCCATGTGTGGGTGTCCTGGACATGGTACCAGCCCATCTATTATGAACTACATGTCAGCAACAAATTCTCTTCTCTAGCTGTCTCGGCTGTCCGGGTCCTTGTCTGCCATAAGGATGAAGAACTGTCAGGTTCCGACTCCAAAAATCCTTTCTGTTCCCTCCTCTGTGCTGCAACCCACACTGGCCTAGTTTTGAAGCGTGCTGGATAATGGATGTGAGCAGCTAAAAATCCCTTCCTGTGTAAGATAATGTGTCCTTTCTAATGTTAATTTCTAGAGGACCCCAAGCTCTTTAGCAATTTAATAAATCCAGGTGGGCATTAAAAAAATAGTGAGTGTTGACAAGCCCTCTGATAATAATAAATAAGTGAAAATGGCTGTTTGTTAAAATTTTGCTGAGAAACTATTTTTGTCCTTGGGCAGCATTTTGTTACTCTGCTTGCATGCCTCGGTGTGTTTCCTACTGCGCTGGTTATATAGTTCTATAGATATAACAATACATATGCAAGCACGCATTATGTATATATCTCTTGTTTGCTAAACCTGAAGTAATTTATGTAATTATACACATAATGTATTTTATCCAAATACACAAAGAAGTTTTTTTTTTAAATGCCACTTAGAATCTAGATTTAACTTAAACCACTACTTAGTCTATCTTCCTTAATAGGATACTAAAAAGGAATTTTATGACAACATTATCAGTAGCATTTTGCTGATAATTAGAATAACAATAATAATACTGAGATATTTTTTCAGTAATAATGGTGTTATTAATGAGATTTTTATGAAAGACAGACTTCTTTAGTATAATTATGAAAATTGATCTTTTGCATTTTACTTATTCACTGAAATCAGATAAGTGGCTTAACTACATGTATTATTTCTAATAAATATTCAAAAGAATGCATTTAAACAAGGCACCTCATTCTATTCTTGCTCATATTCCTTGCATTTAAATAAAAGTGTAATTGCTCTGCTTTTTTAAACTGCTAGTTTGGATTAGCTGTCTAACCTGTACAGTGTAGCTGTTTGCTGTTTGCATTTTTAATAGCTTTATTACCATTTGGTGAAGCCTTAATTTCTCACTCCCTTGAAGAGTCCTGCCTTTAAGTCAGCTCTACAATTTTACCAGCAATAATCTGTCAAGATAAGATAAAGACCTACACCAGATGAAATGCAGTATTTTTGTGTAGCATTCTGTCATTGTTAAAGGAAAGATCTGAGTATGTCAAAATGTAACACCTGAAAGTTTAATAAACTTTGTAGCATAATTTTACAGTTCACATTTTAAAATAAATTGTTCTAGAATACATTAGCTTGTTCACTAGTGCAATCAGTTAAATATCTATATAAATATGTTTGGGTGAAGGGCGCCAGCAGTTTTTCAACAAGGATAAAAGTTCTTTCAGTTTTCAAGCCTCAGATTAAGTCATTTCTGAAAATCCTTGCTCCAATTCAGTTCTATTAACTCTGCAGTTTCCTCATAACTCCTTCATAATATTTGGCCATAACATCACTGCAGAGGTTCATTAAATATTGCAAACATTCTTTTTTTTTAGAGTTGTTAATACTGAGGTAATTGAAGTGAAGCGTACTTAACTACTCACGTTCAGGACTGGGGCTGCTCTTCGAGTATTCCCGTTTCTTTTCACATTCCTGTTTCACTTATTCACTCAAGGTTTTTTTTTGCTTTTTTTTTTTTTTTAAATAAATTTATGAAGCTGAGGTCCTAAATCCATGTTAGGGTAAATAATAACTGAACTGTTTCAGGTATGTATGAACCACTATATTTACAGGACAAAAGAATGCAGAATAAGTTTCTCAGTTCTACCTTAGCAGAACCTGCTATTTCACATGCAAATGGACATTGGTGTTTTATATATAACCAGACATATTCAGGAAAAGTGGCAGAAGTGCAGGCTCTGTGAGTTACTCCTGAGTAGCATGTGCATAGGAGTGTCTGGGCAGCCTTCTGTCCAAATCCTGCACCCATATGCCCTCTGGACAGCTTGGGCTATGCTGTGGTCTTTCTCTGCACAACCTAGGAAGGGAGGAAGCTTTAGGATTTTGGACACAAGGGGTTTTTTTTTTGTTTTTTTTTTTAAGAGTAACTGAACTCTTATGAATAGTGCTTTTTCCTTCTATTTTTTCTTTTTTAAATAAAAACGTGAACTAAGACAAAAAGCCAGTGGTACTAACTGCTTGCAGACATTCAGCCGAGCTCACTCCTTGGGGTCAAGCTGTTGTCTCTCTCCACTAAGACAAGCCTTTCCTCTTAGGTCGGTTAAACTTTCCCAGGGCAGCTTTGCTGAAACATACACTTCCATGAAATGGTTCCATTTTGATGAACCATCATTTTGCAGTGAAAAAAATCTGATTTGCTGCCAAATTCCCCAATCTGTTTAACTTCAGTATTCCATCTTCCTGGTCTAGTTCTGTACTGAACTATATTAAGAGCAGCCTGAAATGCTCTTTTGGAGGACTCTGAAGGTTTGGCACCACAGACCCTGTATTAATTACAAATACCATAGTACAGTGTATTTCAATTTCTCAGTCAGTGATTTATGAACTGCAAAGCCATCACTGAATAGACTTCGACTTATGAGAACCAGGCCCTGCCTGAAACTGCAAAGGTTGCTAATAATTTAGCTCTGCTTTGGCATAAACTTGGTAGTTCTGTGGGCCTTGGTTATTAATTATGAGGAACAGAATCTGATTTTTAGAACGGGAAAGATAGATCTGCAATATATGCATCCACTGTGTGCTTCATCAAATGCACTGCTGTCAGAAAATCTGTTCAATTTTAAGGTTAAGCAAACAGGACTATTGTGTATTGCTCACATGAGACAGGCCCATAGGATATGACCTTTCCAGCAGAAGGACTGATACACAAAATTCACATTTAAGAAACATGTCCATGTGAAATCAGGATCCTAAGTCCATTGTTAAGGACTTAAAAAATATTTAGTAGTGGTTGCTACTTCATGGCAACCATGGAAGGCAGCTCAGTGAGTCATTATCCCTACTCCATAAACAATAGCATGTGATATGTCAATAGTAATTCTAGCACTGATGAGTGTTGGACAATTTTCCCATGATAGTGGTGCTGATTACTGGCCTGGTGTATAGCTGCTAAAATATATTCTAAAGGAACTTCAAAATATTTAAATATTTTCTGATTTGACTTTGCAGGGTGAACAATGTTTCTTTTCCTACATGGATATCTGGGAGTTGAAAATGGGAATAAAGACAGCTTATGAACTGTGTCACAAGCCCATAGTCTATGAAAAAACATGAGAGAGCCTGCAGTGGGTGCAGCCCTTAACAAATGCTGAATGTTTGTGTGTCTGCTTGAAATATACTTGCTACAAGCACAGGTCTCAATTGAATGAAGCATTTAATCACGTTCCTAAGTCTATACTTGTGCTTAGGGCCTGTGTCTCAAGGACTTTTTGGAATTGCAAACTGACATTGCTATGCTCTGACTCCCTCTGGGAGATACAGTTTAGACCAGGGGAAAGGGTTCTTCAGAGGCTGAATTAGATCAGATCACAAGACCACAAAACACACAGGAGCAAAAGAGCTCGTCTGCCAGCATCAAGGGCCAGGAGACCAGCACCTCTTGCACGGAGGCTTGCAGCTGTCTGAGATGTCCCCTCTTCCAGCACACTAAGTGGAAGCGGTACTGGGCTGTGATGCTGATCCCTGACCACCACAGGAGGTTACTGCTCCAGCAGCTCTGGCTGCGTGAAGAATCCTGCAGAGCACTTTGGCAGAAAGCAGGTTAATGCCAGGTGCCCAACTCATCCAGGCTGACCCAGGCAGTTTTGTCCACAGAACGGCAACGCTGGCGACCTCCAGGAACAGGCTGGTGACACCCTTGTCTGACACAGGTCTTTGCGCAGTAAATACCAACTTTTAACCTGATTACTTTCTTCTCAGTCTGAAATGAGGCATGGGTACAAACATCTCTTCATACTAGCAGCCTGAGCCTACATCAACATGGAAAAGCATTTATACAAGTGTGAATCAAGACAGAAGGAAGGGCTGATAGAGCCTCCCACCGAGCAGGAGGAAGATCTTTAAGGAGATGATCTTTAAGGTCCCTTCCAATTCAAACCAGTCTATGATTTTATGGTCCCTTCCGATTCAAACCAATCTATGATTTTATGATTCTATAAATGATGTGCCTGACAGAGCTGAAGCCACATGGTCTACAAACATGACTAAAAGACATCCTGAACCACAACCTTACAGCTGCTATCTCAAAACAATCTCAAAACAGGATCTCACATCCCATGCTTTAGACAATTCTTTCCACACCAAAACAACCTGAGTTTGAGTCCAGGCTGGAAACATACATTTGAGGATAATGTATGTAATGGACTCCTTATCTCTGTATCTCATGACATCTTTTATTTAAAAAAAAATAGAAACACTACCCCACATGTGTGTGATATGAAGACGTGTCAATTTAAGGTGTGATAAATGATTACAGCAAAAAGCTCTGACTAGAATAACCACAGGGAAGCCAAGAGGCTCATGGTTAAGTAACGAGTTCATTCAGAAAATGACAAGGCAGTGTGACAGCTGGAGTGAGGAAAGACTTGTGGCAATATTTTTAAAGAATTGTATGATGAAAAAATAATAATAAATATTAACAAAGTTTGAGGGGGGGGGTTGTGTTTGTGTGTGTTTTTTTTTTTTTTTTTTCTTTCCCATGGCATAAACAATAGTACTCTGGTCATAAGCCAAAACCTGACAAAGGTCCAAGGTTGAAAAGGGTTTCTCTGAGCCTGTCTTCCTGGTATAATTATTGTAGGTTCAGAGGAACCAGATCTGGAGTGTTGTAAAACTCAACACAATGAACTTGACAGACAGCCAGATTTCTGTTTTCAGCCAGTTTAGGGTTACTATAATCTCATTATTATGCTTGAAAGACGACAAGTAATAGAATCTCAGGTAGCCGTTCTGTCTTTACTCAGCCGCATCTTCTCTTTTATGCCGATTTCCCTTGATTACCTGAACTAGTGAGGCTCGGTTTTCAACCACTTATCTTCCAGAAATAATCATCTGATCAGCCTTACAAGGTTCTCACTGCACTCAACGGTTTTAATGGGTCAAGCGTTAAATTAACCCTTTAACCATATCCCAGGAGAATACAAAACTTATTAAAAAACAATTTACTATTCAGTCATTGTTAACTTTGCAGAGGAGAAGGAGTTCCTTAGCCAGCCTTGCTTGTTGTTCTCTTCACTTGTGTCTTGTTTTACTGCATCTTTGCCCTTACTAATACACGAAATCTTTTTAAAGCTTCTGCCTAAGGAAAAATTCTTCTGGTTTCTTACTTCTACAAAAGCATAAAATGAAGCCACAGGAAAAGTGGTATGTATCTGACATTGTATTTTAAGGCGACTTTTTACAAAAGTTAAATGATTTTTTCCATGAACAGAAAAACACATCTGCAAATACGTGACTGATGTCAGTTGATGTTGTGTCACACACAGAATTGTAAGGCTCATGAAACTCTTATGGACCCATCTATGCGAAGGAAAGGGTTTGCAGCTCACTCTGCCACAGGAGAGTATTTGTACAAGCCTCAGCTGCACCAGGGAAGCAGCCAAACAAGAGGTCACTTACTGGCTTAGATCTGTGCTGGTGTGCAGAGCAGCCAGCAGCTGTGTTGCCGCTCCCAACCTCCCCAGAAAACTCCTGAATCTCCTCTGGGAGGAGGCTAGAGGCAGGAGCCCAAGCAATGCTATTTGGCTTCATCCTTCCCCAGGAGGATGCACAGCCAGCAGAAATATGCCTTCTGCCCTGACTCGTCCCAAAGCTGGGGAAATTGAGGGAGGGGTGAGGTAGCTCTGAAGAAGAAGCCTCAGCAAAGATGCTTTTAGGAGTAGGGAACGGCACCATCAGGGAACGGCACCATCAGGAGGGGCTTGAACAAGAGGCGGGTGACGCCAGTGGCTGTACTAGACCTCAGTTGCTCTTGTGAAGCCAAGGCCCTCTGCACACAGGAACCACCTTAGCAGAGAAGTCTATCCATTCCACAAAGGGCCAGGTTCCTCCTTTCAGCAATACTCCAACAGCAAAAAGAGACCAGAGCAGAAATATTTCATACAAGCCAAAGCCAGAAAGAGCCTCAGTTTCCTAACTATTATGAAAGAAAGGCGTGATCCATCCCAGCACTGCTTCTTACAACGATAGCATAGTAGAGATGCCCAGGGTGTAGATCTAGCATTGCTATCTTCAACCAATTCTTGCTCACACAACATTCTCACTGCCGCTCACAGGAGTATTGCCAGGAAATGACTTGAATGAAAGACGGGGTTTTTTACAGAGAAATCTCATACAACACTTTCATCACCTTTAGTTCGTACAATCCCAAATCTGATCTTTGATGACAACTGGAACTGCTTACGGGGCTTTACTAGCTCAGGCTAGTAGTCATCAAAGGAATGTTAGGACTATAAAATCTACTATGTGTGTTTTTCCTTACTGTGTATGTTAGTCATTATGTGTTCATAGAAAAATAACACGTTGATTTCAGTCTGTTCATAATAGTTTGGTCCTTTACAATAGAGGAATGGAAAGAAAGAATAAACAGTGTCTAAAAGTCAGATGGAATAATGATTTTGGCTATATGGCCTTGTAAGAGGAATCTAGGATGAACCCCCAGGCCCTTACAGAGAAGAGGGAAGAGACAGTGCCATGGGCATTGAGCACAGCTGGCCGGCTGGGCAGGGCACTGCTGATAGTTAGACAAGAGAAACACTAAAAAGAGGAACGTATCTTGGGGCTCAGACCTCTGCAAAACTTTGACATCCTACTAGAGTCTACAGTGAAAGTGCCTTGTTGTGTCCAGAATCCTCCCACAGTGAGGCATGTTTCTTCTAAAAATATTGCTCTATTCTGTTATAGGTCATTGCTACTTCCTTCAAAATACAGCCATTAGAGAAGACAGGGTGGTGACCTTCAAGTATCATTCCTTGTGGGCACCATCCTCCCCCAGGACACTAAGTGAGATCAGTGACAACCTCAGCTTGCCAGTGTATAGGCTCTGATCTCCTTCCTATTAGTTCTCTAATCATCAGTCTGCAAACAGGTGTCCTTCAAGCAGAATAAGTTTTCTCAAGAGACATTTTCTGCCAGTAATTACTAAAAGAATGTGTATTCCCAGAGCTTTACATGTGAGTGGTGTTTGTGAGTTACAACTTTTGCCAGTTTCTGTGTAAACTCTACCAACAAATATCTGAGACAAAACAATAGTGTACATATGTTGAAGATGGGATTTCACTGAAGAAAAACAATAATGTAAACATCAGATTAGATGTTAAGAAAGGCAAGATGACAAATTTCCACAAATGGAACTAAAAAGAAAAGGCAAGATTCAGTTTCTAAACAAAGACACACAGTGTCACTTCAAGGTTTTTCCCCTAGCCTTTGGTCAATTATTTTAGATGCCAGTGTCAGATGTTGGCAGACATGCTAGAAAGCCTCTCAGATACCTATAGTTCTCTGTAGCAGCAGATTAAGGCAACTAAAGAGATACCCTACATGACTAAAATAGTTCTAAATGTTTCCATTTAGGCAACTGAATCACATGCCTTGATTTTTTCACCTTTGATCCCAGAGCCTTGATTATTTTATTATTAAATTAATGCCTTTTTAAAAAAATATATTTTCCATCAGTTTCCATTTGAGAAAAAAAAGTATTGCTTCTTCTTCATCAGTAGTACTGCTGCAATCCTCCCACAAAAAAAATGAGCACGTTCTTGTAAAATCAGCAGGGAGTAGAAGTTTGTACAGAGTCCACATCAGTATATGGGAAAAGAGGAAAAGAATAATGTGAAATTTAAACTAGTTCTGAAGGGAAATGAAATCCATCTAGATTTAAGAGGAAAACCAGAAAATTTCCATTTATACTCTTGGATATATGAATGATTGATAAAGCTATAAGACAGATTCAGGACAAAACTTAATAAAAGAAGAATAAACCACAGTTTACAAACCTTTATCAAAACATGTGTCTTAACAGCCATTCAATATAACAGAAAGATACACAAAAATCATATCCAACTTCTCCTCAAGGAGCTAACATCTTTCCAAGATTTCTGGAAGATTTTTGGGAGCATCTTGTTCTCTGTGTGTGGCCTGTATTCATCTGACCCAACCTGAGCATCTGCAGCTCTTCCTCCAAGGCTATCCAGACTAAACTACTTGCCTAAGCTCTTTCTACGACCAATGGACCTTGGAGGGCAATTCACCCCAGTGTCTAAAATATTTGGTCCTGTTTGTCTCCATTGACTATAGCAGATACGTAGACATCTGGCTTTGGCCATCTAGATTGCTGAAGACATCATCTAGATGGCCGAACAGATAAGAGGAAGCCTGCTTCTCATGAGGGTACCATTTGCTGCTAAGCTAATGTGGGTAAAGAACAATTTCAAAAACCTTCAGTAAAGTTAGTCCTTCTTTGGATGATGCTGGATTTTTTATGTATTTGTCAGTTTCTTACAACCTTTAATACATCAGAGAAAACTCTACACAGTCTTCCCATGTTCTCCCAGACACAAACACCCAATGACACTGCTCATGGAGGAGTGGCAGTGGAGGAAACAGATGGAGTTTTGCCTAGACTTTAGGTCTGTTTATCCTTAATAAAGTCCTACTGGGCAATGGGCTCAGGAGATGAATCATTGTTGTGGGACATAGGGATGTCTGCTCCACTCCTGCTTCTCCTGCTGACCTCCTGTGTGGCCTTGGGCAAACTGCTTCACCATCTGTTTCTTCACCCTGTTTTTGTTTGTGCAGGGGATGGCTACAGGGCATTTTGCAATCAGATGCAAGCAAGCTCTCTCCACACCCTGACCCAAAATGGCATGATCAAGGTGGTGTGGTGCCAAGCCTGAGGTAACACACCCAGAGCCTTAGAAAGGCTCTTCAGCTCCATCTTTCTGCTTTGTTAGCAGTAGTGACACAACTGCTGCTCACCTTGTGGCATCAGCAGAACACAAGTCCAAGTAGACATATCCATAGACTGTGAGCGCCTTCTTGCAGGAGCCTTGTGTCTTTTCTTCTGTGCATGCAGATCAGGGAGCACAAAGGGATCTGTAAACTCTGCCCTAGAGATTAATAACACTGGCTCCATGTGTGAGTCCATTGCTCTGGCTGGCTACCCGGTTCATGCACCCACAGGGTAAGAGCAGATGTTCAGTGAGGATGGTGGTATTTCTAATTAATCCTTCACCTCCTGGAAAGAGCAGAAGTAGGCTTTAATTAACTATGGAGATAGAATTTAAATTGATAATATAAATGGAAAATTGCACATGTGTATACCTGTGTATGTATCTGTGTGTATTTACACAATATATTTAACCTTATTTCCTGAGGTGATCACACAAGAAACTTGTTCCTCTATTTCCTTCTCCCCCTCCTGCTTTTATCTGGAAATTTTTATTCAGTCAAGAAATACAACCATCTTGCCCTTGAAATTAGTGAGTTCACTTACTCCCTGGGATGGGGAGTAAGTGAATAATGATCTGAAGCGCTGCTACAAATAGATACTTAATACACAGGAATATACTCAGAAATGTTATTATAAATAAGGAACAAGCTTATCTTAAAATCCACTAACCATATCAGGGTAGCAACCCATTTTACAACAAAAATG